CTAAGCTTTAACTAATTACTAGTGCACTAAGTCTATCAGACTAGTAGATATAATAGTATTACTATAATATTACTAGACTTATTAAATCTTCTAAAGATACCTTAAAGCAGAGTAATTATATAACTATATAGTTACTATAGAATGAAATAAGGGCTATCCATAAGTAGTATAGGTTTAAGATTATAGAAGTTAGCCTAGATAACCTTTATAAAGAAGAGGGGGGTATAGATAAATTAGTATTATCTAATACTAAGTACTTATAGTTAGAGGAATTTACTAAGGGCTAAGGGTTAATAGATATAGTAGAGTTTCTACTATAGGAAAATTTTTCTTAGTATATCCATAATCTAACCTTAGTTAGATTAATATTTTTTAGGCTAACTATGAGTAGCTAAAGGGATTTAATTATATATAGGCTAATAATAAGTTAATAGTTTAGAGCCTTTAAGTATTTAGATAGTTTAGTAGAATAGTAGAGTTCCTCTTAGTAAGTCCCTAATCTAACTATAGTTAGATTTAAACTAGGTTATTTCTAAAACTAACTATGGTTAGATTTAAACCTTATCTTCTCTAGGTATCTAGTTATGCCTTTAGCCCTTTTTAACTTTAATAAAGTTATAAACCTATTATAATATTATAAACTTCTCTATTACCTTAACTCCCTAACTTTAAATATATTATTTCTTATATCTAAGATAAGTCTATCTAAAGAGTTATCTTCTTATTATTTCTTACCTCTAGTACTTCTATATTAGTAGTCTTTATCTAGTAATATTTTCTTTTCTTTAGTAGATCCCCTAATTAACTCTTCTTTATCTAGTCTTATACCTATTCCTATAGGCCTTAAGATCCTCATAAAGCCTAATAGACAGGACTAAGTCATTAAATTTCTCTTCCTTAAGGATTATACTTTAACTAAGGAGTTTATGCATATAAAGGATATCTTTATTATATAGTGGAATAAAATAAGATAGGGGAAGATATAAGATAACTTAATTAAAAAGAAAAGAATAAAATAGGGAGGTAAGAAATATTTATTAGCCTAGACTTATTTTAATAAAGTAGCTATATAATTATAAGGTAAACCTAAAGTCTATTATAAATACTATTATATACTTCTCTATTATCTATATTTAGATTATTCTAGTACTATAACCATAAAGTCACACCTAATTAGCTAGAAGTATTTATAGAAAGATGATAGTCTATCTACTATAAGTAAATAGACTATTACTATATACTTATTATAGATAATAGTATATTTCTATAAATCTAACCTTAGTTAGATTAACTACTAATATTATACTATATTTTACCTAGGTTAATATATATACTTTATAATATTCAGTATAGGGATTTAGAGATTAGGTTATATAGTTTCTAATTATATATTACCTTCCCTTCTAAACTATTAAGTATATATAATTTAAGTAAATACTTAATATAATTACTAGGCTAGTATTACATCTTTTAATCCTAAACTATAATAAGGTTAAGATATATCTTATAAATCTTACTATAAGTATATATTAAGAACTACTTACTTCTCTTCTACTAGATGCAAAGGTATTAATTACACTTAATTACTAGATAAGTCTAGACTAGAAACCTTTTATAGTAATTACTAGCTACTAAATCTATCCTAAATTCTACTATTATAAGGTTCTTCTTAGTTTCCTACTAGTCTTTAGTAAATATACTAGGGAGTGACTTACTTTAGTAGTAATAGAAGTTCTAGAAAAGTATAAGTTAAGTTAATAAATTCTTAGGATTACTACTAATAATATAAGTAATAATAGAATAATATTTACTAAGCTTATAATAATACTAAAGGAGTAACTTAAGTAGAGTAACTAGATATTAACTTTCTCCTTTAATCTAGAGTTTTACTAACTTCTTAAATCTTAATACTATTTACCTTACCTTACTTATATAATTTAATTAGTAGTAACTGCTTTTCTCTATATACTTTATATCTAGGCATAGAATAATAACCCTACTATAGAGTGAAATAATAAGAACTATAAGATTAAGGAAAAGGGCCTCCTCTAAATAATAGAAAAGGTATATTAAATCTAACTATAGTTAGATTTATACTAACTAGTATATAGATTTAAAAGCTTATATACTTTATTCTTATAAGCCTAAAATAAAGAGAATTCTTTTAATAAATCTAAATATCTTTAAATACTAGTAGTCCACTACTCCTGCTTCTRGATTRYAAAATATAATAGAATTTAATATATCTAATATTAAAGYATRCTAATTAATTATATAAAYCTATATAATATTTTATTAAGACTTAGCTAGAGAATAATATCTCTTCCTTTAATCTTAGTCTAGAAGAATAATAATATATTAAGTACCTCCTTTAGCTTCTTTATAATTTCTACTTCTATATAACTATACTCTTAGAATATACTAGAGCTATAGTATATTAAGTCTTTAGTATCTATAAATATCTCTTTAATTATCTTAAAGATTTAATAGCACTCCTTTAGGATAAGAGATAGCTCTAGAAAAAATAACTCTATAAGGCTCTATAGACTATATATACTAAGCTAAAGGACTACTATAAGAAGACCTATAGCTTTTATAGTCTTATTTATACTATTAGTATAATTCTTAATCTATATTAAAAACTTTTATTCTTTAAAAGTGCTTCTTAGGTAGATAATAGCTATAACTAGGTTAAGGAATATTATACTAAGCTTAGGAAGATCTTTAACTATTATAGGAAGAAGTATCTATAGGCTTAAGCTTTATTATTTATTTAAGTACTACTAATTAGCCTGAATTATGCCCTTTATAAGTTAAAATAATACTAGATTTCTCTAGATAAAGTATCTACTAGTAATAAACTTTCTAAATATCTTAGAGAAAGTAAGTTCCCCTTCCCTTACTATTCTTCTATTAATCTAACTATAGTAAGATTCTAGGTTATCTTCTATATAATAACTTCTTTAATATTCTTAACTAGTGGAAGAAGAATATCTCTTAATATCTAATACTTATCTTAATTACTTAAGACTTTCTTACTATCCTAGTAACTAGTGTTAGGCTAGAAAATCTATTTAGTATAGCTTAGGATATCTATTACTACTAATATAGCTACCTAAACCCTAAGATAATATAGTTTATCATGCTCTTAATGTGCATAGATTAATTTAAAATTAATTAGGAATTCTAGTTTTTACTTAATGAGGTTGGCAAGACAGATATTAATATAAAGAAGGATAATTAGGTTAATTAGGATGTTAAGTAGTATATTAGTAAGGCTAAAGAAGATTAGGGTAGCTTTAATAAAGATAATAAGATAGATATATCTTAGTAAGAGGTATCTATAAGAAATAGGTCTAAGGGAGGAGGTTCTAGTAAAGAGGGATCTAATAGAGATAATAATTATCTACCTATAATATAGATTATTATTTCTTAAGCAGTATCTTAGGCTTAACTAAGTTATCCTTACTATATAGATTATTAACTAGGGTATTTTAAAGAGCTTATAGAGGGGTAAGTTACTTAGTAGATTTTTAATATAATTAAGGAGTTCTACTTTATTATCTTATCTTTATAAAATCTAACTATAGTTAGAGTACTTAATTAACTTAACCTATTTTTTTAATATATAATACTTCTATATTACCTTTAATTAGATTAGGCGGTTTCACCTAATCCACAAAAACCATAAAAATTAAAACTAATGGTTTTCACTGAACCTGAATTGGGCCCAGGGTAGGGAACTCAAACCCAAAGTAATTCCCTAGGCTAGGCACCAAACCCTCACCACTGTGGGTTTGGTAAGGGTTGGATTCGATTTTTGCAGTTCGGTTATGCAACTCTATGAGCACCCAGTGGGCCCTGCCTACTACATATATCTCTTATACCCTTTCTATATTCCTTTAATTACACCCTATATAAATAGTTATTTTATAGTTCCTCCCACTATAGCCTTACTATAGTAGATTATAACTATTCTAATTAGTTACTATTATCCTCTAGATTTAGTACTTCTTATAACTTCTTTTTTATACTTTTAATCTTTTTAGCCTTTAGCCCTATATCTTTCTTAGCTATATCTAGTATCTCTATAAAGTTAAAGTTAAACTCTAGCTCTTTATCTACTATATTTACTATTATTAGGTCTGGAAAAGGGTTTCTAAGTTAAAGATAGATATAAGAAGGAAGATAGATATAAGAAGGAAAGATAGAGATAGTAATATTATAATTAGAAGATAAGGCTATATATAGATTTATATTTAATTCTTAATATTCACTACTATTAATGAGTAGAGTAAATATAGTTAAGGTTAGTAAATAGTAAGAATTAATAAGCAGAGTAAATAGAATTAAGGTTAGTAAATAGGAAGAATAAATTAAGATAATAGTAAAAGAATAAACTAAATAATAATATCTTTATATTATTCTTAACTATAATTTTTACTTACTTTTCTTTTATTTTATCTTTATTTTTCTTTCACTTTACCTTTCTTTTAGATTATAAATAATCCTACTACTATAGATTATGGTTATCTTATAGTATTAATATTATTTTTATTTAAGATATTAAAGAATCTAAAATAGTATTAATATAGTTATAAAATAATATTAAAATAAGAAGAAGACTAAAGTTTTATTAAGTTATAAGAGTAGTATACTTCTTATTTAACCTAATCTAGTCTTAGTCTACTAAATAACTATTATTTATGCTATCTTACTAATACAAATTAGTCACAACCAGTGAAAACAAGTCATAACCTCAAGTTAACACCAAATATGGGCACCTAAGTAGTTTTCTAGTTCTAGTTCTACTTACTAGTGAAGTCCATTCCCTTGGAGTCAACTCTCACTTCGTTCATTTGCTTATATGGAATCTTAACAATTTGAATCAAATTCGAAGAACGCTACCTACGTAGACGAAACAGAACTGATGGACAGGAAAACAGGGAGAATTAAAGTCGTCCAAATTACACCAATCTGATCTTCCTACCTAGACATCCTCAATCCAAAACCACGCGAGTAACAGGCCCTTTCCACATGGCATCGGCATCTACAGAAAAAAGAACAAGCTTAGCCTCAATACCTCACTCTTGATGACCTGAGACGTACCTGGATGTTTCTCCACACTCTGAATATCCCTCCTCATCTCCTGCTTCTTCTCAAAATTCACCCCAAACCTCTCATCCCGATCCCCCAGCAATTCCTTCAGACCACCGGGCTTCGCGTTCGTCACCGTCTCATCCGAGATGAAGCTCGCCATCAACTCCGGAACGCCGAGAGGGACGGGGTCGCCCCGGTCGACTTGCCAGAAGTGATACGCTTTGCCGTATACGGGAATTAGGTCGCGCATTTCGGCTTTTTCGGCGGTTTCCCAGGCTGGGATTGGTATTCCTACATCAATGAGTCTATATGCTTCCGCATAGTAAGGGTAAGATGAAGGGGTAGGTAGGAAAAGAAAAGAAAAGAGAAGAGAAGAGAAGCTGCTGACTGAAAAGAGAAAAGAAAGACCTACCCGACGGAGAAGGCATAATCAGCATCCCACTCTTAATCTCATACTCATGCGTATGCCACAGTTTCCGTTCCTCGGGTGGAAGCGTCTTGTAAACGCGCGGAGAGATCATGTATTCGACCCCGATGAGTCGGGCGTTGTGATGCGGTGAATCGTAGATTAGGCATTGGCGGATATCTAGTCAGTAAGTATCTTTCTTAAGACAACTACAAAATCATCAGTTTTGTCCACAGACAAACCTTCAGTCACATGAGTACAGTAATGATTTGCCTCAACACTCCGCTTCGGATCCGACGCATACGCATGGAACGCATTGAGATGCGCGCAGATCTGTTTCACCGGCGCGAAAGCCTGGATTACCGAAGCGCTGGCTTCGAGAACACGGCTCCGCGTCTTGAGGGGATCGCCTGCTGTGCCTTTGGAGTCGGTGGGGATTTCTTCGAGAGTGTTTGGGCTTGCCATGACTTCCTGTCTGTCTCTCTGTCAAGTAATTGCCTTGCTTGAGAATGAATGGGTGCTGTGGGAGACAAAAAATTCCTCAAGGTAAAAAAGATCCGACTTGAATATTTGCAAGAAAGACGGAATCAATGATGGATATTCAACGTATTTATGTGTTTAATTAATCTATTATGATGTCAGAGTGATGATGCTGGATAAGTAACTGACTGTGTTGGATGGACGGATGGCATCGGAAGCTATTCAGAATGTATTTACGTAATTAAAGTCTGAAGAATTGGCTAGGTTATGAGATTTTCCATGGTTTTGTGAGGAGCTCTGGTAGGTAGGAATGAGTAAGGATTTGTATGATCACAACTTTCAGGCTGCTGGGTTTATGTACTCTTTATCCATTAGGATTTGTGATATACCAGAAAAGAGGATCTTGGCAGGTTACTCTAGTACTGCCCAAAGCATATTTATACAAATCTATCTATAATCTATATCCCTTTTATCTGAGGTAAATCTTGGCAGCTAGTGTAACGGCAGGCCTAAGACTTCTAGGCTGGGGCTCGTTGGGTTTATCTTGAAGACAGGAGACAAGGGGAAAAGTGGACCTCGCCAGACCCATGGGCATGCCCGCAGCCCAGATGGGTCTGTCCATGGGCGGGCCGTGGGCGGGCCGTGGGCGGGCAACCGCAGCCCACAGTGGGCAGGGGTTAGGGGGCCGCCCACACTTGGGCGCCCATGGAGCGTCCATGGGCAAAATAAAAAGCAATTATAGAAATTCCCATGACCTGCATAAGTTGTTGAAAAGAGACGGTGCTAATTAACTAACTAGACCAAATAAGCAGTAAGTGGGATCACCACCTACTATTTTCAGATATTGACAATTATTAGCAACTACCGATTTTACTATCGAATTGCTAGGTTAATACAGCATGAGAATATGCCTCAATATGCCGGTATTCGGATATGAGACTAATAATGAGAGGCAGAGAGAATAGCTCAAAATCTTTCTTTTGTAGTGATAGGATTTCTTAGTATTTTACATATAAAAAGGAGCAAGCAACCCGTTCAAAGCTGGAGTTGCGAGATCAAAAACAGATAGCAAGAATATCAATTCCCTTTGTTCTTCCCCGATTAGTCGTTTTTTCCCACTAGATTTTAGCCTCTCCGAAAAGTCAACAGTTATGAGCCTGGGTCGCGAAGCTTGGTGTTGAATATTGAACATTCTCATCAGCAATCTTCCGTTTTGGCCTCGGACGAGAGAAGAATCTAAGTGAGAAAGCTTCCTTGGAATATACCATAATACCAGTGTGTCATTGTCGAACACTTCCAATTGTGTTGTTACGGCACACTTGCAGTCGACACAGAATGGTTGGATGAGGCTTACGAGAAAGGCAGTGCAGTCTGACGTACAATCAGGCTTGAGGTCAGGAGGCGGCTAAGTCACGTGACTAACAGTCCCTGACGCCAAGAAAAGGTGACGGTCCATCAGGGACCGTGATCACCTAACACCAACATGGACCATGGGCAGCGGTCCATAATGGGACCTCATGATAACCTCAAGGTATGGACCAGAAGGGAGGAACTATATAAGGACACTCCTTACCATTGTATCTAGCACTCTTAGTTTAGTTCCTCGCGTTCAATATCAATAACTCACTTGAGTACAAGTTCACTAGTCCAATTTAGACCTCGCCAAAGCCCGCCCGCGGGCCCTAAGTCAGGCCCGTAGCCCGGCTCGTGGGCTCAAGGTCAGGCCCAAAACCCAAGCCCGCAAAACCCGTGGGTACCCGCCAAGAGCCCATTTTTGCATAAATTTTCCTGATTGGGACATGCCAAGGCGCATACCACCGCTGACTCATTCACATAAATTATAACTAGTTAACTAATGGCTATCATGTGATTAATAATACGATTGGCCCTGGTCATAATGGCTTTAATGAGGCAACTCAGGCACCTAAGTATAATGTGTTGAGTGGTGACACATGATCGTTTGGTAGCAGCGTAACTACTTAATGAGCACTCACCCCTTTCCCTGTCCTCATTCGATTCATCTCGACTTTGAACATTTACAAAACGCAAGTCAAATTTCTTTCTCACATCCAAAGATGCCTCAAAAGATTGTTTCTTCATCTCATGAGCTAGAATTCAAAAAATTCCAAGATTGGAATGGTGATTATCCTACTCAGACCCTGATTTTCCACCACGAGTCTTCCTCATGGTGGATCAAAGTTGAGATAGATTGGTCTCTACCGGAGTCAATACTGAAGTTAGGCTATTTCAAGCGTCGGTCTATGTTTCACGAATTTGTCAAGGCAATTGACTTTGGTCAATTGGATTTGATGGAGGATACCGTGACACGCATCAATCTAACCTTGCATGAGCAAAGCCATAAGCCGATCCCGATTCGGAATGTTTGGAATGAGCAGACACAGCCAAATTATTTTTTATCTATTGCCGATCGAGTGTCCTTCCAGATTGAAGAAGATCCGGGGAGAATTATATACCCGACTCTGGACCAAGCTCAAGATCTACCTACCATTGAGGCTAGTCATCTAGAAGACGCCAAGGTCATCGCTCCAACCGTCTCCGCAGTCCGTTTCAAGCAAAAACGGTTCGCATACAAAAAAATCGACCGCCCTATCTATGAGCCAGGAGACGCAGAACATATATTGAACGAGATTAACGCTCTCGCCCAACTTCGCGGACAGCCGAACATCGCACAACTAATCGGGGTTGTTATATCTGAAAACCCATACAAAACCCGTCAGCCAACAACTTCGACGGGGGTTATCACAGGATTTCTCCTCGAATACTATCCTGAAGGGTCTCTTGAGCAAGTTCTTGCAGAAAATAAGGAGCAAGATGATTCGTTGCTGAGACGATGGGCGCTACAGACTGGGAGAGCATTGGAAATATTGCACACGCAACGACGGACCCATCTTGACATCAAACCGTCGAATATTGTTTTTGACGCGAATAAGAATGCTATCCTAATCGATATCAGTGGAACCGGTGGGTATGAATGGGAATGGCTCTCGCCAGAGATGCAAAAGATCATTCAACGAAACGCTGCATCGACTCCTGCTAGCATGCCATTCGACAAACGTGTCGCCTCAGACTGCTGGGCTTATGGAAAACTACTTTTGACTATGGCAAAGAAACTTAGCACTGGTGGTTTAGGCAAGAAATTACAGTCGATCGGCAATGACCTGACAAAGGCAGATCCGAAAGCTCGCATTTCGCTGAGCGATGCTCTTGAAAGGATATGAGGCCAGGAGTAAGAATGCCGGTCAGTTGTTCTCGTTATCGTAGCGCTTGGAAGATGGTCTTTATTTGTCAAGCCTGTCGAATTTATTTGTTTCAGTAATCAAGAAACCCGACAGTCTCGAAGTAGAACAGAATCCGTGGGAGAAGCTATACATAGGTAGCCGCGGTAGCTGTGGACAATGCAAGGGGGAACAACTGTATGGTCAGACGCGTTGGATCAAATAAAAGGTACTTGGGAATGCCTGGTTAACCCTGGGCTTTCGGCTATCGTCAGAAGTTATGAGAATACGAACAGCGCAGCTACCGGAGTCCACTCATTAAGAATGCCTCGGACATCTATGAGAGATGGCTGCTCATCAGTGGAGACGCTTACAAAGAAGCCCGATCCAATCTAAGCGACCATTCTTGCACTAGAGGCAAGGAACGGCAGTTAGAACGCGCTGATCTATGCGTGGGAAAGAGCGGAAGAGCCTTCGGGTTACTCAGTTGTAACATCTCTTAAGTTAGGAGAATTTCTCGAAGTGCTTGCCAACCTTTGCGACTACAGCACTACTTTTGGACATGCATATATCCGTGGAGGCAATTATCGATATATTCGAGCGTTCAGACGAGCAGGTTAGTGCCGAAAAATCCATCCCAGGACATTTCCATCTTTTGGTTGGTCCAAGAGGCAGGACTCCGGATGAATTGTGTATCTAGGTTGGTGCCAAAATGGACATCATCACCCAGCCATGTTGGAGCTTGACCCTACTCCGAGTATATCCTACTGGCACATGGGTCCAAGGACCATATTCCGTCTCCCTCGTCCATCCCTGAATCGAATATTCCGGAGCTTTAGGATCAAACACTACTATTAAAGAATCTCTTGCTTTTATCCGACATTCTTTATCTGCTGTAGAAACAAGTGACAAGGCAATTATTCGTCTTAAAGCTATCTCCCCGCGCTGCAAACTGGTAGGTGTTAGCAATCAGGCTATTCAAGATATGGAATTTTGCAACCACATCCAATACCTCGTATATACTGGAGATGTCGTTCTAGCTACCATCATGGCTCGGTCTTCGCAGGTTAAGGATCCTCTCTCGTGAGGCAATTCTGGTGGGGCCGGATTATATAAGCGATCCCCAAGACAACTCACGAAATATTTGGGCTCTTCTCAACAGTGCGGGGGAGGAAACTTAACATGCTGTTGAATTAGATTACTGCTTACCAAATGGAGAAATTCGGCCATTCTCTTGTTGAACCTTCCTGTATAGGTGATTCAGCCAAGATGATCATGAACTCACCAGAATTCTATGGAATTATGATTATAAATTTGATCTTGTCAATGCAGAATCATTTTAAATCTAAATACCTTCATTTTCTATCTATAAATATGGCCTAGTTAGTTACTTATTAGAAAGAATCAGACCTTTATTTAATTTCAATCTTACATATAAATTCTTAGTTATTTCAAAACTCTACTAGCATAGTTAAATTCAAAAGTTATAAGCCTAGATTACCCTTAAAGAGATACTTAGGAATTAATTAAGGCTAGCATCCCTATTAGGCAGTGGAATATTATATTAGAATTACCTAATTAGGAAGAATTAAAGCTATATTAATGCTACTATTATCTATAGAGCTAATATAGAATACTATGCTGAACTAATATCTTCTAATTCTATTAAGAAGGTTACCATCTCACTTAATATACTAAATAATTAGTAGAATTAGTAGAATTAGAATCCACACATCCTTAGCTTAGCACAAAGCTATAGAGTATTAGATATCTTGCTTAAGAAGGAACCTTAACCAGCTAAACTAATCTATCTAGATAATTTAGATTCTAGATTAACTAATTAGTGAGCTATATTAACTAAATAAAAAGCAGAAGTAGTAAGTAATCTAGATCTAGAAACCTTATATAAATAATAAGAGGGTTACTGGGTCTGGATTCTGGAAGTATAAATATACTAAATAAAAGGAAATAGAGAGAGGTCTTATAGCTATCTAGCTAGCTATTAAATAAATAGTAGTAACGAAGCATCTTAATTAGTTAACTAGTTAATTACTTTATCTATTTAGTATAGTTGCTATAGTTAGTTAAGTTAGTCTAGTTTATATAGTTTATATAATTTATCTAGTTAATTACTTTATCTACCTTATCCTATTCATCCTATTTATCTACTTTATCTATCTAAGTTCTAACTAGCCTAATTACTTTATTAAATATATTTAGATAGTTCTAGTAGCCTTAATAACTACTATTATTACTTACTATAGTATTATTTAAAATTTTAAATTACTTATTATAATTCTCCTGCCCTAATACTATCTATATATATACAATATAGCTATTAGAGTAATATCTTACGGTCTTACCTCTCTAGGTAGTTCTTAATATTTCTATATATCTAGGTCTAGCTAATTAGCTCTCTCCTTAAGCTTATTCTAATTATATTTACTTAGATTAAGATTAGATAAGCTATAAGTATAGTAGCTAGTTAATAATTTATTATTAATCTTTAAACTATTTCTTAATAATAACTATCTAATATAGATTACTCTACTACTAGTTATTAGATCCTTATAAAATATATACTATTCTTATTAGCTAATTATTCTCTATTTTTTAATATATTTATTATCTTTATATCTTTATTCTATAGCTCTTAACTAGTAATATAATAGAAATTTAAAAGTAGTTAATATACTTTAGGAGACTAACTACTTTTAAATTTCTATTATATTTCTTTTATCCTAAATAACTCTACTAATTCTTAATATTTTTTAGTAATAGTGGGATATTCATCATTGTTAAGGACATGGAGTCTTTAAAGAGTGTGAGGATAGGGGGTAGGCTAGTAGCTACCCTGTATATACCTCCTTTATTTTAAGGGATTCTAGCTGTCTTTTATATTTTAACCTAAGCTAAGAATGAATATAAGGTCTAACTAACTATATAAATAGTAATATTAGTTACTAGATATTATTATATACCTAATATAGCTTCCCTAAAGCTATATACCTGCTATTAATATCACATCCTCCCCTACTTAAATTAAACTTTATCTATAGAGTTCTTAGTCAGCACCTGTTAGTATAACTATATAGATATAACTATTACTAAGAGATATTAGGTTCTAAATCTAGTATTTAGATATTATTATTTCTTTATTAATAATCTATAGAATTAATTAAATTATTCTTTATACTATTATTTAAAATTACTATAGTAGTAGCTAAGTATATTCTTTATTTAATTTATAAGAGGTATAATTAGATTACCTTACTTAATAATATTAATAAGTAAGTTACCTAAGTAATTAATAATCCTTAAGTACTGTATAAAGAATTATAATAAATATTATTATTTATATATATATATAAATAATTAAATTAATAAAGGTAGAATTAATTAATAAGTATAGATAAATAAGTAAGTATTTACTACTAGTATATATAGCCTAGGTATAAATACCCTTAACTTTTCTTACTTAATATATAAGATATTTTATAACTAAGTCTTAATATTAGATCCCCTAGCTTAGCTTTTATTTATTTAGATTAATAAACTTTTATAGTCTCTTCTCTTTATAAAGTATATTTACCTTCTTTAACTCCTTAGTTATTATACTTCTATTCCTAATTTAAAGATACTTATTCCTAATTATTATAGTACTATTAAGTAGGTAATAGAGAAATGCTTTTTCTCTTTAATAAAGTAAGATAGATCCTATATTACCCTCCTAGATATAGTATATAACATTAAATAGTCTTATAATAAAAGTAGTAAATTATTAACTAAGCTAATTATTAATCTATCTTAGTAATTAGCTATTATTCTCTATTAGTAAGGTATTACTATAGGTCCTAGTTATAAATAATATATAGACTCTAGTATATTTCTTAAATATATTATATCTCCTAAGTATAATTTAAATAGTATAACTTAGATATTATTCTAGGGTGCTTATACTAACTACCTATAGTATAGAAAAGACTTAAATTATAAATTCTACTTAGGTTATAGTAAATAATAGAATTCTAGGAATAATATATAAGTTCTTATTTTAAACTTTTTATTAATAGTTACTTATTTATATAGGATAATTCTATAAGCTAGTAGTCTACTAAAGATTTAGAGTAATAGTCCTACCTTATAAGATATACCTCTAAGTAAAATTATTAATATATCTACTAAATAATAATTAAATACTTTATATTAGACTTCTCCTAAGCTTATTACTAAATCTAGCCTAAATTATTATAGTTATTACTCCTCTTTTTCTATAAGTAAAGCTATTCCACCTATATCTAATACTAATTTAAAATATTAGACTAGATTAAGTTAATTAAATAGTCCTAAAGAGAACTTTATTTCTATATTAAGTGCTTATTATTACTATATTACTATAGAGAAAGCTTAAGCTAAGATAGTATACTCTAATATCCTAATCTTCCTAATACTAGGTAGTAGTTCTCTAACCTTAGATACTATTCTAACTTTAAATACTATAGATCTCTTTATTTCTAGTATAGATCCTATTATAGAAGCTATTACTATTAATTCTTACTTAAATCTATCTTAGCCTAACTCTATTACTTCTAATCTTAGTAATCTAAAGGGTAAATATTATCTTACTTTAAGTAGAGTATCTCTAACTTCTTTTAAGAAATATTATCTTAACTATCCTCTTAATAGTGCTATTCTCCCTTAGCCTATATTAATATCTAATTTTAAAAACCTTATTATACTTTAAGTAGTTTAGGAGGATCTTACTTATTTCTCTAAGCTTATTAATAGAAAAATTTTAAAGCTTAAGGAAGCTCTTTATCCTAATAAAGTAGATAATAATAAAGAACTTAATCTAAAGAATAAGGTATATTAGAATAAGTAACTTACTAGTCTTACTAGCCTTTAAGATAGAGGTAGAGGCTAAGGTAGTTAAGTATTACTCTTATTAAGGAAGCTAATAAAGTTAAGGAAGCCTAGAAGATCTCTTTATTTAGCTATTTTCT